GCAATGGAGCTAGTTATCGCCCACTAGGAGAACTGATTCGATCGGGACTGCAGCACGAATTTTAGGCTCAAGGTTTAAGGCATTGTTCCTTGAAGATGGCGTTCATACTGAACTATTGGAATAGATAAAACGTTTAATTTGTATGAAACAGAAGTATATACGTTTAGGCTGACATACTGAATATTCGGAAACCAATACGGCCCTTTCATTTTCTATGCACTGTCAAGAAACCTTATGGATTTTTTTCCAGAAGTATTCTGCCTTCGGCTGTGTCCGCTTGATTATAGGTGCAAAAGAGATTCTTAGTCTAACATTCGCCTTAGGATATGATCATATCTTTGATGCCTAGAATAGAAATGAATAGCGATATGGGTCCTATGTATGAGACCAAACTCGCAATGAAGCTTTACATTAAACACTGTGTTGGTCAAAAACCGTTCTATTCAGTTTTAAATAAGGATTGAAAAGATGAAGTAGAGTAAGGTGTAAATGAAATTTAATCTATGGAGTGTTTCAAAGAGCTCCCATTCCTCTATATTTTCCATATATCTATGAACGGTGGGCCGATTGTCAAAGATACATCCATGGTCTTCTGCCGCTTTCTGATGCATTCACGACAGGCGACGCGTGTTTCTGACGTTAACGGCATCACCTTGTTGCGTTCGTTTTAAAGGTTCTACGAAAATATCCTCACCGGCTGATCAGCCGACATGGTCTGCATGTGGGAGCGAAAAAGAATTGAAGGAATGTATTGAATTGTGCATGTGTATGTGTGTACGTTTGCACACGCACGTTGCTGTGTCTATGTTGCATTTAAAAGAAAATAAAAGACATTGTCAAACGTTTCTTTGTCCCCACCACACAAAGGAAGTGCCTCCACCATCGCCGACTGTGACCACCACGTATGTGGCTTGGCCTAGTTCAGAAATAGTACAGTTCTGCTCAAGCTTCTAGCCATTTTGTTCAGCTGCGTGACGACGCAGACGCCAACCAGACCAAAAGCGAGTGACAACGTGAAAAACTTTATATACATTTATATATAAGTCTATGGATAGGATCGTATATATTATATTCATTCTCCCTGCGTGCTGTTCTGTAACGTATACCTGGTGTTCGATATCCATACGCACACGAGTTTTACATGCTCCTTTTTTTGGTCGTCGTACGTTGGCTTGTTGTTGTTGTTGTTGGTTTTTTTCCCCATCAATATCGCTATAATGGTAGTTACTATCGCTGTTGCAGCCTGTCCCGTTCACGTTGGAGGCGATATTCGGTTTTTGCTGGCACGCATAAGAATACAGTGACACAAAATAGGGACTGGAACACACGAAAGAAGCAGAAAAATTGATGTGATTTTGTCTATTGCCACTGCTGTGGCATATTTTTGCTCGAATCGTTCTCTTTCGACACATAACCGGTCGCTGTGGCCTATTTTTCTCTTCCCTCTAGCCAGCAACGATTTTTAGGATCGTTCTCAGAATTTGGTACTTAATCTTTGTGCCACGTCTAAATAACTCCCATAAACTGCTTCTATAGTTAATGGTAAAAGTGTGCGTGCGTGTGTTATTACGACGAAGTCAAAATCATCCAATGAATAGGGGAAATATGCATATACATATGTATGGGATGGGTTGGGACAAATTTATTCCTTTGTGAAGAGCCGTTTTGCCAACCCCTTAACAAGAAACAAACGTAAGAAGGCAGAAAACAAATATTATGACGTGTTTCATATTCGCAATACATAACATGGTACAGCCGGTACGTGAGTTACCTCAGTGTGGCATAATCTGTGTATTTATAAAATGGGCAAAAAAACTAGACCTCCAAAAGGAAAGCATGTAAGCCTATAAATAGGAAAAAGTAGACTTTTTGTCATGAAAGAAAAGTGAGTTTCCAGCTGATACGGACGCTGCTTCAACTGTAGGTCTGTTTTTTTCTCAATGAGCTCACCGTTCACTGCTTTATTCTTAAAATCACGTATAGCTAAATTCGTAATACAGAAACGAAGCATCATTTCATAATCGCAGCAGAGGCCCTGATATATATACGATTTACTTCTTTCATATTGAAACCGTTCTAAATAATAATGTAATGGTACGTTTCGAGTCTACTTAATGTCGCGATGCAATAAAAAACCTCGGTGAAGTAGGGTTGGAGAAAGCTCCCTCCAACGAGACAGAGGTGAGTAAGGAAGGGTCTGCTCTATCGCGTAAATTGACAGTAGACATAAGCTGGGTCCCCTTGCACGAAACGTGAAGGTGCAGGAGGCCTTTCTGGTTGGCCTGGGAGGATGCCGGTATGGAGTGAAGGAGCACTACGGGAAGCCTAGAAAGATCGATCCCACTGTCTGCAGTCAGTCAAGACTCTAATATTGCGATTCAGCCTTGGCGTTTGGTGTTTTCGTTCGTAACGGAGTTTAATATCACTTTCTATTTAACATCACATCTCCATTCGCTACCAGTCATAATGATGGCTGGTACTGAAACGTGCTGGTTTTGAAAACGTTTCATCACAAACTTACATTTTGTGGTCATCTTGAAAATTCCTATTTTGCCTTATAGATAAAGTAACTTTCAGTTTTTCAGTCATGCGTATTTTAAGGTATATCGTAACGCTCGTATCTGCCTTAGTTACAACACACGAAGAACAAACAAAGCGTCTGAAATAGAACCAGTGGTAGTTAAAATTATTCGAGGATAATAGTATAGGGTTATCTACTTAAGACCCGCCCTGTAACTCTTTCCATGTTGACTTTGTTAATTGCTCTATAACTGACGCTCGGTCTGAAACGTAAATTCTGTTCAATCCGTTAGCATGTGATAGACAAGATCATTCGCTTTCGGAATAAAAATAGTCTGAATAATAATTATAATGATTATAATTATGTTGCTAGAGTAAGTGAAACGATGGCAGAAGGCGGTGTCGATTGTTATTTGTTAGGTGCAGCACAAACGTTTGCCCGAGTTGTGCGCCATTTGTATTCGGCAAGTTGATTATCGATAATTATAACTTTAACTTGATACAAGGCAAGTTATATAGGGCAGCTTACGCATCGGTCATACACTCATGTGAATACCTACCAATAGGTCGAGCTACGCTACTTGGGTGGCTGGCTGGCCTCTTTAAACGCAATCTGCGATAATTAGCGCGCGTATTACTTGTATGAAGGCAAAAAATAAACACATCTACATGAACATTTGCATAATTCAATGTTGAAAACATCCTTAAGCTCTGATGCTTACCACTCCTTAGAGGACGCAAGGAGTCAGATACAAACAGAGCGACTGTATGTGTCCCAGCGGCTCAAGCGTCCCAGTCTGTTCCTTCGGAATAATAGGAACATCATAGCCATTTGTTTTTTTCCTGTTGTTTATGTATTTCTCAACTTTGGCTGATGAAGAGTAAAAGAATATAGAATATAGGTTCAAGTACTTAGGCTAAACGGAGACACCCGTAAGAGTAGTGCCATCATTCTATGAAAGCTAAATTGTTTGTGGGTTCGATGTTTTAGTGGCACCATCGAGCGCCATAACTTGTAAAAGTAATCATGTCAATAAGGGTTGGTCTTTAAATTGACGACAGATATTGCTGAGTAGTAATAATCTAGCGAATAGGTGCATGTGTAGCATTTAGCGCTAAGGCCATCATACCCCGCCTGTAAGTAGCTTTGGTTAAAATATAGGTTTTTTTTTTTGCCTGCTCGCTATTGGTTCAACAAGCAACGATTCACACGACAGTTGCAGATTTTGTTCTGATATTGAAATTTACCCACGTCATTCAATTCGATCAGCAGCAGGTAAATTTGCTCATTTTATACGTCGCTGTTACAATAATTCGGTTCTTCTATACAAGAATATGTTTCCACCTATTTGACCATGCGTCTATGTCTAATCCGTGTGTCTCCATAGCTGTTTTATTGCCTGTAGTATACTTGAGTGTTCGACCACAAGCACAGTGATAAAAGGGGATTATCCTTTCCTATGAACGATAGGGGGCGGAAGAAGACAGGAGACAGCCTCATCTAGTCGCCGTTCCCTGGGGAGCAGTACTCGAACCCCATGCTACCTTTCCTACTGCTCCGTAAAACTATCACACCCATTTATTCGCTAACAGCCACATAGACTTCGTCGCCATCCGGCATAGCTTTCAAGCCAGCGTCGGTCTAGTTTCTAAGTAAAGACAATGACCGTCCGACGCAGCGGTTTGTAGAAAGCCGCAGCACCGTCGACGGTGTTGACGCACCACCAATTCGACGCTGTAGAATCGTGTCTTGGTCATGTTTACGATCGGCTCATCTGCCGCCATCGTCCGTCTTCCAAATCACCTTTTGTGTGCCACCTCCTACTAATGCCTAAATCATCATTAGCTGGTAGGAGTAACCCTTGCTAGCAGGATATTTGCCCGTTCGACCGTTGGCAAAATTACTTCGCCAGCCGTTTGTGTCGCTGCCTCGATTGTTATGTGATGACAGCAGTGGCAGTGTCAGCTGCATAATCTTCTTATTATACTAATTGTGCATAAAATATATTTTTAGTTGTCTAGTCCATGTTATTGGTGAATGTGTTTTATGAACGCACATACATCTGCTAAGAGACTGTGCTAGAGATGATCGTAACTACCTTAGTTACAACACTGTTTAGAGATGCCTAGAAGTAGTTGACTCATGCCGTAGTTCGTTCGATTGAACTCTGATCGCATTTTATCTTGATCTAGAAATCTTGTTTTTTTTTTTTGTTTTTTAAAACGCGCTTTTGTAATGGTATCCTTCCCTATACTGAGTTTATGATTTGACTAAAATTACCAAGTGACGTTCCTTTTTGCCCTAGTTAAGCTAAATAATATTATAATCGTTAAGTGCGCCTTACTGTATTCTATTATGTTGACTAAAATCTGCTAAAGGAACATTCTATGCTCTTATCCTTAGTTTCATTATGTTAATTCGAATTTTTTTGTGGATTTGCTTATGCTGTTTCGGTTCTTGCCGCTACTATTGTTTTCAGCCTTTTCTACTCCCCGGTCCAACTCTGAAGTTGCGTCTTTTGGCTTGAACAGTCTTCAGAACAGCGAAGAACATGGAGAAGACGATCGCTATGGAAGCCATCTGGAAGATGAAGGTAAATAGTCACTAAGCGATTATATACATATCACGGGGAAATGCTGTAAATACAGATTTTCTTCACTAAAATTTCATGATGTGCAAGTGGCATCGAAGTGAGACACTTCATTTGGACACGGAAAAAGTGTGACCTTGAATGCGTTTAACACGTTACGAAATTCGACAACATGACAATACGTATATTCTACGTCATCGTTACTGCTAACGCGTGCTTAATGTTGTATTAGCCTACTTAGATCATGGAGCGCCTTCTGTTGCTGCTTTTCGCAGGTTTTACACATTAATTGGACAAATATACAGAATAATCATTTATCTAATGATTATCGCCCGCTAGAATTTTATGACCGCTTTGATTACTTAGATTGTTCGAATTGGTCGATACATATAAAATTGAAAGACTCTCGATATCCTGTTGTGGAACACAGCGGAGTATTCTGTGACCTTTTTTCTGTACACGCTACTTCTGGAATAGACTGACATTCGTTTGAACGAGTGTTCTAGGAACGAACGGAACTGCTCTAAAGACTACTTCTCACTCTGTTCCATTTTCGTTTCGTGTTAAATGTTCAGCTAGACTCCCACTAATAAACCGGCTATAGATCCATTTGCATCTAAAAAGCTGCCGCCGATGCGTGTGGCAGTTAGCTTTCGATTGGCTTCAAGAGCAGTACCTTCTACCGATTTGACACTTCGCCAATTTCAAGTATATTCGTTTGTGCTGTAATGCCTTCGTTAACGCCGACTACAATATCATACCGTTCATTGTGTTCTAGTCTCTCACGTCTGTAAAGGTGGCTTGTTAGCAGCTTGCTCAGAACTTAAGTCCTGGCGTTTAGAATTCTAGAGCCTGAGTGCTTTCGGGTACCCACAATCGAAACGTATGAAAGGAAGCGGTGATGCTGTCGTAGCAAAAAGGGGCTAGGCAGGGGTAAATCAGCGGTTCCGCCGTTGTCGTTGTCACCGCAGTTCTGTTCGGAAATGGACGTATTCTATAGGGGCCTGTAACTAGCCTTTAAAACTAGTGTGCTCTTCGTCGGGCATAAGGTAGCGTGAAGAGAGAAGGACTAAGCAAGCTATTTGAAGAAAGGCATGAGCAGTGTCAGAGGCGCGTGCAGATGCCGCCATAGAGCACCTTGGTACTACTATTACAGCCACTGGTGAGATACACAAACGGCCAAACAGGCATTGGTTGGCGGAGGGACTTGAGTTAAAAGCGCATCGTCCTTTCCGCAAACCCCTGGTTATAGATCGACCGCAAGACGAGCGAACAAGCAAGCGACTGCTCCCCGCTCGACTACCTGCGACCCGCTATTTTGGACGTCGGTCCTGTTTTCTATTTTAGCTCAAGTCTCTGAGTCGAAACTCAAAAATAACGGTCGTGCTTATAGATCGAAGAGAAACCTTCGGTCGCAAGTGTCAGCCCAGGAATGGCCATAGACAAATGGAACACATCAAGCAGGTTGTTCTTGTTGTGAACCCGGAACTTAGTATGCTTTCAAGTATGTATCGTGGTTGGGCGGAACGAGTGAAATGCGACGCAGATGATCAAAACAATCCCAAAGTTGGTCAATACCATTGGGAGCAAACTTTAGTCAGAAAGTGAAGGAAGTAATGGTGGTTGTTTCGGCTCCATATCGCTTTCGCACAAAATGGGTGGACGATTGGAGGAGCCAAAAAAAAAAGTTAGTAAACGGTACGCTGGCGCCGAGCTAGTAACACATTTACCTCTAACAGAAGGATAACGAAATCTACTGATCTGGAACGGCAAATGATAGTTTTTTGTCTCGTCTCCAAGATGAGCAATGAGACAAAGAAGAATGGATCAAACTTGCTAAATCAAAGAACAATAGATAGTAGGTAGTGATTTTTCGACCGCTTCGTTCTCCGAAGTTCTTTCTTAAAAATAATCTTTAAAATGTATCCCGCACGAGATCCATTTGTACTCACACTGAAACAAGTAAGATACGTAATTCTATATGGTGATGTAATATGGGGAAAGTACGACGAAAACTACTTTACCTAATTAATTAAAATGTGGCTAGGAGGTATGCTGTTGTTCGAGCCTAAGCTAGAACTGCGAAGAAGAATCAGAACGGAGGTAAAGGGTCTGATTTCTATTAGAACGACAAAAACTATTAATTATATTTAAGGAGAATTTTATAGGATCTAAGTCAATACTGTCACTGGATTTCGTCGTCAAGGTGCAACCTATAATTCATTTAAACGGGGTACTTTGATGTATATCATCATCATCATCATCATCAGAGTATTTTTTAAGATATTCTCTGGTACTTGTACTCGATTCTCTTGCAGCAGGCCTTCATTATCATATTAATTAAATAATTATCTTATTTAAAATACGAGAACATTTGTAAGATTTTCGTTTGCGGAATGAGTAAATGAGTCTCCAACTGATAAAATTCACATTTCGACCAATAACGGAATTTATAAATTTTGAATGGGTGAGTATATAATGAACCCAACATCTCGAGTCGATTGTCAACGACTCTGTTTCAACAAATGGGCAAAATGAATAATGTTGAACGCTTGTAAGTCTTTTGGAAACATCGTATGGCCTTAATTTTAGCCTGTGTTATTATATTTCCCAGTAGAGGACATCGGATTGCCACTAGACACGGTCACATTTAATAATTTCGCTTGATGTTTTGATTGCGTTTATCTCAGTTCAGCCAGCGGTTATCAATCACTCTTTATTTCGATCGAACTACTCACCAAGGCAAGATGGATTATATCATTGAATTGAAGTACTTTAAAACGGCCGACACTGGTCTGTTTTCGTCAAACAAGTCACTGCGAAGGGTCAGTAGTCCATAAAGCTCGTTGCGCAATTCTAACGTGAGAAAAATCAAGAGTAAACGAGGAGTGATCATTATTTTTATTATTGCCCACTCAATGGTTTGGCAGAATGTACACAGCTAGTTAATATATTAGGGCAAACATATTGAAACTTCGCAATTAGGGACAGAATGTCCCAAACTATTGATTTACACAATTGCGCCCGCCCGCCCGCTCGCGAATTTGTTGTGTCTACATTTGTGAAAGGTAACATAAGTATGATCATTCGGCTGATTTACGCGTCAGCCTGATGGAAAAACGCCAGCAGGGAGACTCTTTCTAAATGTCCTAAAGATAATATCTAAGGTTGGTTTCCAGGTATGAGCTTTCGTGGAAGCATTTGTCTTACTCTATCGAAACTGAATTATAACATTCTAATTAAAGTTTTCAGTTTGCTGTTATTAGCCAAAAGCGTATCGGAAGGGAAACACTTACATGTTACATTTATTGAAGACATTTAGAAATAGTTGGGTTAGGTAGGAATATCCCATCTGTCCGTCAATGACGTACCGGTGCGAACAAGTGGGCATGGTAAATTTTTCGATAAATCACCAAATGGATGTAACAGTGACGCTGTTGAAGAAAGCAGACATTCACTGATGAAAACCTAGTTTCGTATATAGCCAAGAGCTATCTGGTCTGCTAAGATCTTCTAACAAGGAAACTTCAGAAGCTCAATTCAAAACTCGTCTCGTATATACCTACAAGTTTACTTTGCTATTTGTCTCAGTTCATCGTAAGCACTAATAGTAAGATTTTCATGGGTAAAAGATTGAAATATAATGTTTATCATCACTGGCCAGGTTCGCTTGTTTGACGCTAGGATGCGTTCTTGATTTGGGTCTATTAAACAGGAATTGTTAATGTTATTAACAAAATTGAATCAAAAACGTATTGCTATAGACAGCGTCTACTCGTGTTTGTCGTGATCCCCAAGAATCTATAATACATTTTCAGTAACCTCTATTCTTACACGGCTTATGGAACACACAAAGCGAGTGCAGACTTTAGCTCATGCTATGGCTGTGCCATATATATATATATAGAGTTCGTTACATACATAAACCTTACCAATGTGGTAATGACAGGGATTTTATAGAAGTCAAAAATTCGTGCTTGCTTTTCTATAGCTTAATCTTGGATATTAAATGGAGCCTGGAAAAAGAATAGAGTCCGGGGTAGCGTGGCACCATCCCATCTTCATTTTTCGATTTACCGTAATTAAACGTTATGTTGCCACCAGCCACACTGCTACGTTACTCGTTTAAGCAAAATTTGATCTTTAATTTAGCGTTTGTCCGTATACGCCATTTAATGTAGGAAAAAAAATATAAGAACAGTGATCATAGAATGGGCGCAAAGAATAAAAAATTACATTTGCAGCGAATATATGTTGACGATTAATCCGAAAGATAAGTAGCTATTGAGAAGGCTGCTGCTGCTTCATAACATAGTGTTATTTATAAAACACGACAAAGTTCTGCTGGCGTTGACCATTTCGGAGTTCAAGCGAGGCGTCAAAAAGTCAACCTGTATCAATTAGCTTTTGTCAGCATGGCCTCCCGTAAGGCTTCTTTAAGGACTAGCACATCTTCTGCTGGGACACCATATCTCCTTCTCGAGGGTGGATAAAGGGGTACAACCATCCCTTTCACTGTACAAATAATTGGGTTCAAAACTACGCCCAGTCAGGATAAGCTTACGACTGTCAGACGCCTGTAGTACTCGATTTGTAAGGCACTGAATGTCGTGGCCAGTTCCTATGACTAGGTCGGCTGCTTAACGAATTTGTCATATATGGAATAGATGTTTGATGAAAAAACTGAACGTGTATCTTGTAACGCATATTTGTTGTAACTTACGCTAATATATCAAAATTAGTTTTCAGGGACGCTGGCCCATTTTAGCCAACACCAATCAGGATACAAGTATTACATTCATAGAGACACTGGCTCAAACGAGGAACATCCTTTCACCGTTTGAGGTTGACCGCTCAACAAGCGTGCTATAAAACTGATGCTTCGAAAAATTACAGCAGCAGCAAGATAGCTTTTTCAACTTTCTTCATTTGTAACTCTCACTTTTATGCGCATATCCATTGGATGTGAATGCATAATTGGATTGGTACAAGACTAAGCGACG